TGTCATGTTGTTGCCTGCTCGTGGGCTCTTGCTGGGAGACACTCTTGCGCCTCCAGATTTCCACATCTTCATTCTGTGCCTGTGCACAGCTGGGCCAGAGAATGGCAACCCCCTTCCCACCTCCAGCCCACATGGTTTAGTGCAACCCTGAGTTGTGGTCAGTTGAAAGGGAAGCTGACCTGGGCTCTTGTTGTAGAGCTGGACCTACCCAAGACCCAGCCCTTGACTTTTCTGTGTCTGGGTTCATGATGTTACGGGCCGTTTACAAATTCTCCCAGCAGACTTTCAGGTCCCTGCCTTGTAACCTGGTATGTCTTTATGTAAGTAGGAGCTGCTAAAAATGCATGGATCCTTCTCTTCTAGGTCCCGAAGAACCCCAGACGACATCAGCCAGGATGGGGACAGTGGCACAGAGTACAGCCACATCTTATCTTGACAAATCTGAAGGTAGGGATGGGTAGCGATGACAAGCTCATGGATGGGATGAAAAGGTGAGGGTAGGCTCAAAAGGTTGGGAGGTCAAGCGCCTGGTAAATGAGCAGTTTGGTTCGGATCCTGATGTCACAATCATCAAAGGTACTATTTGAAAGATAGCCAAGGGCATACAGGACTGCTGGCAGTCCTGAGTCTGAGGGCTGAAAACCGTGGCCGGCATAGCCAGAGGACCCGCGATTTGCACTGTGTGGGCCTGAGAGCTGTGTGGTAAGGCGTGGATCCTGGGATCCAGGAGTGTTAGGAGAGGATGGACCCATTGGTCCTGGATTAACTCCAGGGTTAAGTCCACTGGTTCCTTTGCAGCCATAAACGTGAGCCAAGAGAGCTGTTGTCGGAACCAGCCCACCAAGCGCTCAGAGCACCTTCAAATCTACTAGGGCAGACGGGCTGGTAACCCTGTCAGTTAAGTGAGCAGCACTGTCTCTCCAGGGTCTGTTGCAGGGGCCTGTGCAGTAATGGGACAATGTCCTTGAGTCCCAGCACCTCAGACTGAGGCCGGGCCATGCACCCAACCGCTCCTGACTATAAATAGCACGAGGCCTGCTGCAGGCTGACAGGCAGGCGGACAGGCTAGGGATGACAACAGCCTAATAGCCGAGAAGTTTGTTTTGGGTCCTGACATCCCTGTCGTGGAAGACACGTGTTTGGAGGGCCCCAAAGGGATGTTGGACGGCTGAGGGCTGCCTGGGAAGCAGTGTGCAGGCTGGAGAGGAAGTGCCTGTTTGTGAATGATGCACGGGAGGGAAAGGAGTTGAAGGGGGGACTGTGATAAGTCCCCTGTGACAGCTGGGCATCTGGTTCGTGGGGCAGGTAGTGTGTAGGAAGTGACCTTTGCAGCTGTCTGTGACTCCAGCTGCCACCGCTTTGCTGAGAGAGAGCTCTCCGAACACCCAACAGGATCCTACCTAGGGGAGTCATGGTTTTGCTGAGCTGCATAGAGTTGACCTGAAGTTCTGGAGGCCCATGAATCCTGCTCCTGTAGCTCCTATGGCTTGGGGCTGTTTGTAGTGTGGGTAGCCCTGTGGTGCTGCTTCCTGAAGTGAAATACCCAAAGGGGAGGGGAGGGAGGCCCAGTGGGAGAGATGAAGCGAGTGCAGCTCCTCTCCAGCTTTGAGTGGCCACAAGTGGGAAGCTTAGGTGACCTCCAGCTTCTCTGCTCTTAGAGTCATGCGACTGATGCTTGAACTCACAGAGCTGAGCACGATGTTTGATGATTACGATATGCTGGTAGTTTTGGGGAAAAACAACAGGGCTATAGGTAAATGGGCAAGACTGAGGGGCTAACGGTCAACACAGAAGTGTCATGTTGTTGCCTGCTTGTGGGCTCTTGCTGGGAGACACTTTTGGCCCTGCATTTTTCCACATCTTCACTCTGTGCCCGTGCACAGCAGGGCCACAGAATGGCAAGCCCCTTCCCACCTCCAGCCCACATGGTTTAGTGCAACCCTGAGTTGTGGTCAGTTAAAAGGGAAGTTGACTTGGGCTCTTGCTGTAGAGCTGGATCTACCCCAGACCCAGCCCTTGCCTTTTCTGTCTCTGGGTTCATGATGTTACGGGCTGTTTACAAATTCCCCCAGCAGACTTTTCATTTCCCTGACTTGTAACCCGTTATGTCTTTAAAGAAGTTGGAGCTGCTAAAAATGCATGGATCCTTCTCTTCTAGGTCTCAAAGAATCCACGACCACAAAACGCAGGCCTGATCCCATGGTATCCGGTACAACCATAGCCACTTCTCAAAAAGCTGCAGGTAGGGATGAGCAGGGATGACAACCGCCTGGGTGGGATGACAAGGTGAGGGTAGGCTCCCAAGGTGGGGATGACAACTGTCTGGTAAATGAGCAGTTTGGTTTGGATCCTGAGGTCACAATCATCAAAGCTACTATTTCAAAGATAGACAAGGGCACACGTTACTGCTGGCAGTCCTGAGTCTGAGGGCTGAAATCCGTGGCCAGCATAACCAGAGGGCCCACAATTTGTACTGTTTGTGCCTGAGAGCTGTGTGGTAAGGCATGGATCCTGGGATGCAGGAGTGTCAGGAGAGGATGGGCCCATTGTTCCTGGATGAACTCCAGGCTTAAGTCCCCTGGTTGCTTTGCAGCCGTAAACGTGAGCCACACGAGAGCCGTTG